AAATATAAATTTTATATAATAAAAACTAGATTTCTAGAATTTATTATTACTATTATTAGTATTCAGATTAATTCTATAAAAACTACTATAATTATAAAATAGTAATACCTGATTACTATTAAAAAAATCTAGTTATTTCTCAGATTCTATAATTTCTACTAGTATTTTATAAAAAATTATAGCTAGATTACTAAGTCTATAAATCAGCTTATCTAGAAAAATATTCTATTTATCTAGAACTAATTTTATAAGATAGTCTTCCAGACTCTGAAACAGATTTTAATATTAACTCTTATATTAATTTATTATAATTTATTTAAATCTATATATATTAAAACTGATGCAGCTGATAGAATAATTATAAAAATTCTTTATTAATAAATTAAGAATATATAATATCCTGTAATTTATTATTTAAAGATTATATCTTTATCTAAATATAACTATGATATTTATAATAAGAAAATACTAATTATTATATATATCTTTATAGAATAAAAAACAGAACTAGAGAGCCTGTAATAATTAAAAAAATTTATAATTCTTATAAATTACTAAGTCCTGAAATATTTTATAATTATTAAAAAATTTAATATTCAGCAGGTCTGCTGAGCAGAGATACTATTTTAATATTATTTTATTATTAAATATTAACTAAAAAAGAATAATACACTAGCTGACTATTTTATATAAAAAAAGATTAATTTAGAAATAACTAGTAACTATTATTACTAAATATTGCTAAAACCTGAGTTTCTAGAATCTGATATAGTTTTTAATCCAGTATTAGTAGTTTCCATAAAATAAAATCTTTATATTATAGATTATATTCTAGAAGTAAATTATATTTATTTTTTCTTAGAAGATCTTTAGGAATAAGCCTGCTGGTAAAAAATTAATTATTTTTTATAAAATAAACTGCTTCTATATTAAAATAAATTAATAATTTTTAATAAAGATAATCTGCAGATTTAATTACTAGATAAAATCTACTAATAACTATTACTGGCTTATTCTAGATAAATAAAAATAATAATATTAATTAAATAATAATACTTCTGGAGCACTTGGAACAGAAATATCTAATATTATATAGATAATTATTTAATTTATAAAAAAAAAATATATATTAAAATTTATTATCTAGACTATTCTAATTTTTTCTGATTTCTAATTAGCCATAGTAATATATATTTATAAATTTCTACTTTTTTTTAAAGAATTATTACAGATTTAATATTATCTTTATAGTGATAGATTATCTCAGTAAGTATATAATATTTATTTTTTATATAAAATAAATCTTTATACAAGACATAGCCCGCCTGTTTATTAACTGAATTTATATTTAAATAAGATTTTCTGATATTATTATCTCTAACTAAAAAAATTAATTTATAGCTGATTTTTAGAATAAACTATACTGAATTCTATAAATTAAATTAAAGCTTTTAATAATATATTATCTGCAGACTAATGAGTAAACAGAAATTATTAATTAATATATAATCCAGTAATTTATTCTATTTATTAATTATTTCTAGAATAACTAGTTAGAATTATTATTATTTATTAATTTTACTACTACAGCTCTGTTCTATAAATCTACCAGATTATTTTTATTTATAATTAAGAAAGAATATAAATTCTGAATATTATTTAATTAAATCTTTTTAATAGATCTACTACTATATACTGTTACCTGAGACTAAATCTATAAGTTTACTTATTATATAGAACAAGTCTGGATCTTTATATAAGATAAAATCTAAAAAATATAGAACTAGTAAATATAATAAGTTAACTAGTTTTACTATCTTGTTAATTTTAATATTAATAATAAAATTTTTATTAATATCTATAACTAAAGATGGAACCAGCTTTTATAAAAATTATTAAAAAGCTGATATAATCCTGTACTTATTATTAATAAAATTAATAATATTTATAAGATTTACTTTTCTGAGAATATATATATATATCCTGTTTTCTATCCCAAGAAATTTTATCTGTATAATATATTTAATCTATTACTAGAATAAATTTAAGATACTATTATATCTATTAAAATTAATAATCAGATAAAATAAGAGATTAAGAATATTCTAACTAGTTATCTGTAATATAATTATCTTTAATATAAAATTAAATAACTGGTATCTAATACAGCTAATTATATCTAGTATTTAGTAGAAAATTTCAAGAATACTCTCTTCCGCCTTTGAAATTATTATATAAAATATTCTACTTATTCCGGATCCCCCAAGCGTCTCCCGCAATAGTTAGCAGCTGTGGAGGCTGATAAATTTATATTAAATTATAAAAAAAATAATTTATTTTTAGTTAAAAGCAGCCAGACCTAAACAAGAAGATAATATAATGATAAATAATATCTTAGAATTATATAATTTCTATTTTATTTGCTTTATTTATCTGTCTCACATGGCTTACTTATTTTTATATAATTATATATTTTTTTTAAGCTTCTTTCTTTCTTTCCTCATGCTAGAAATTCTTGTTAGATAGCACCAAATTTGACTATTTGATTGGCTTCCACATATTTAAATATCTTAATTATTTTTTTAAAAATTAATTTATTTTTATAAATTTATTAGCTATCTGTTTAACTTATTAATAAAAATCTTTAAAATCTAGTTTTTATTTAATATTTATTATTTATTAATAGATATTATTATTTAGAGCTTAATATAGAAAATTCTTTTTATTTAAATTTTTTTAATTATATTTTTTAGTCTTGATTAACAGGCTATTAATTTTTATTAAAAAATTATTAATTATTTAATTTTTTTACTTAAAAGTAGACAGCTTATTAATAATTTTTTTTTATTAAATTAAATTTTTATAGATTAATTTAAAATAATTAATTAAAGTTGTAACTAAAAAAAATAAAATTTTATAATTAATTTTTATTTATAAATTAATTTTTATTTTAATTTTCCTGTCCAGGAGTATGAATATATATTAAATTTATTTAATTAATATATTAATAAATTATTAATTAATTCTAATTTTTATTTATATATTATTAAATTAATTTAAAAACTTATTTTTATCCTTTTTATTAAAGCTTATAAATATTAATAACTTTAGTTTTTTTATATTAGTTAGATCTTGGACTAGTACTGATACTAATATTAATATTAATATAAATAAAAATATTATAATAAATATCTAAAAAAGTAAAAGTTAAATATTAATAAATTATTTAATTTATTTAAGACTGGCTTTAATCTTGTTATTTATTATTATATTTTATTAAAAAATAATATATTATATTTTTATATTTTAAATTATTAGTTTTTTAATATATTTAGTTAATTAGTTAATAATATTAGCTTGAATAGTATTTTTATAATAATTAAAAATATTTATTAATTTATTATAATTATTATATATTACTGGTTTATTATCTGATAAATACTTTAAAAAAAATAAATTTAAAATTATAATAGGCTAAGAAGCTGGAAGAACTATATAAAATATAATAATTAATAAAAAAATTAAATTTATTAAAAAAAAAATTATTTAATTTACAGACAGGTTAGTTCTTCTTATAAATAATTTTTTTAAAAGTTTTTTTTTATAATTCTAGTAAATTTTTTTATTATTTTAGAGATTTCTATTTTTTTTATAAGTATCTCTGGATCAAGATCTAGAACCAGATAGATTAAAATATAGATATTCTGATTCCAGATGGCTGACAGGGCCTAGCCCTTTTCACGTACAAATACCTATTCTAATAAAAATTCTTTAAATTTATAAAAAGAGATACTGGAAGAAAAAAAGATAGGAGTTTCTAATCCATATATTTTATAAGATTTATCAAAACGAGCTCCTGCTTTTTTTCTTATTTTTTTATATTTTTTATTCTGATAGCTTCTGCAGACAGGATGTTCTGAGACTATAACTAATTATAAATTAGATTAACAGTTTATTAACATAATAGAATTTTTAGAGTACGGATCTGAAGCAAAATTAATTACAATTATTGAATTAAACATAGAAGTTTTGGATATTCCAAATTTTTATCTTTATAATAAATAGGATATTAAGTTCTCTACAGGGAGATCTTGGAAAGCAGATGCTTTCAGAAAGAAATTTATAGAACTAGACTACAGGAGTGGATGTACTCGCAATTTTACTAGTAATACTTGTTAGCGCTGGGCTTTGATAGAAGCAGATAGGACAAATGCTACCTAGTAAATATGGATATTTATTGAAAATATTGATATAGATTAGAGTGGCAAACGGCCAGGTTAGGCCAGGGACACGCGTAGCGGGCGGGAGGACTATAGGGGACATCAAATCTCACCCAATAGGCGGCGCAAAACGACACCCTAGGGTGCGGTGCACCACGCCTAGGGGATAGAGCTTCGTATACAGAACTGACTCCGAATGCGATCATATCAGGTGCCAATCAATCTGATATTTATCTTGTATATAAATTCTCGAGTTTTCATATGTGAATAGAACAATTAATTCTTCTCCGAACTACGACACCAGTCCATGATTAGAACCTTAAACTATACAGTTTCTCTAGCCTTCCATGCGAAATAGCATACACAGCGCACACACTTATAGTTAAAACGAAGCTTGGATCAAACATGGTTTCCGGGGATCTTGGACTGATTCCTGAGCATTCTTTGTCAGTTGATAGCCCCCAGTTTTACTCTAGCGGCATCCTCCACAATTACCTGTCAATCTCAATTGCTCAATATGAGACGTTAACCTTGATTATGAATAATCAATAAATAATAATACTAATATCAAAGCAATCGCAATTCTCCATAGATTCTATAGTAGAGCCCCTGCATTCGCAGAATCGTATGGGGAAAACCTCTTATATGTTAGAGGGAAAAACCCAGACGGAGGCTGATTATACAATGTGTCAGATTTTAGATCCCCTTTGACAATTACATAGAGTAGTCTGTATCTCAGGCTGAAGCTCGATTTTTCTCCAGATTATCGCACCAGCCGGCCTATTCGCCGAGAGCTCTGAGCTGTTTCAAAGACCTTTCCACCTTTGTCAATGTCTCCTGATCAGCTGGAAAAACCCTATGAGATTCGATGCCGACAAAAATAAATCCCTCCTTTTCCAAATGAAAAATATAGTATGGCTCTTTAAACCCTGGGTAAAGGGGGTGTCGCAAAATCATGCTGTTATAGGGCTGAGTATAACCAGCATTCTTTAGAAGCTGGTCTGCTTCAGGAGCATCCATCTGAACAGGCCACGGGATAACACAGTCTTCAAGGTAAGGACTGTCAATATGCTGCAAAGGAGCGAATTCACCCCAGACTGTTGATTCTATTATGACGGTGCCATAACCGACTCCATCGTTGAAGACAACTCTTAAGTGCGAAAACCCCCGGGGAGAATCCACATATTGATCATTTGGTGTGGTAGCTAAAGCTTCATAGAGCTTGGCTTCAGGATAGTCCTCTTTAACTTTCCGCACCGCAATATTGACAGCACCAACGAAGCTGAGAGGGACTGATGCCATGGTGGAGTTGCAGCTTGGGCGATAGTGTGTATCCAAGGGAGGAAGACTATTTCGGTTGCTTATTCGGGTTGGAAACAAGCCTGAAATTGGGAGAAGCAGAGGGGGCTTTATACTTAATCTTCTGCTTAACCACCTCCATGCATTCAGCCGCGAAAAAGTTGTTAGGTAAAGTTGCATTCCGGCCTGGGAGCAGCTGACATCACGTTTCGTCATATTTTATTGTTTCGTGCGACATTGAACTACGACGTACTGAGCAAGGACGAATGCGGAGAGTGCAGGTAACACAAAGAACTTTATAACTGGGCTGGCCAGGGCTATCAGCGACTAGCAGATTGAAAGACACAGAGGGTTACAATTATCCAAAATCTTATTACCGTATTCGCCCTATTATAGTGTCATAGCCTAGCTACCCACTCGTATGTTATTTTTATCATACTGTATGGTACAGCTATGGGATAATTCTATAAAAAAAGATTCATTAAGTTTTGAAGTCTCAATTAACTAATAGTAAAGTAGGGTTCAGGTTCCGCCCTAATACTAGGAAGACTACTGACTTGGATTAGCTCTTTAGATATGTAAAAATATTCTATAGAAATAACTGGAATGGATCTAACAGCGAAGCCATTTTCGAGATATAGGGCCAGTGGGAGCTTCCTTAATGCTATTTCGCCCTAGTATATACTGATATCTATAGCTCTGGAATAGAATTTTACAAGAATCATGATTATTCAGTGTCGGATCCGGAACTCCGATCTATCTTTGAATAAGAAACTGTAGATCTTTGGACGGGCAGCAGTGCAATATTATATAAATACACCGCAAATAAAAATATACAAAGTAAAAGTCTAATTTGACAGATCAACTTCCACGTGATACATACATACAATTGTCATCAATCTAAGACTCTTACTAGATCTCTGCCGTCACATGACAAAGAGTAAATAGAGTTAATTAACCGTTACATCCCATCTCATCTTAATTCTTGAGATGTGACTGGTTTTCTAGGATCGAGGGCGTTGTACTAAATGTATGCGATCGCAGATCACCAATCAATGATCATAAATAGCCATGTAACAACGTAACTTTCCTACTGAATTCAGCAATATTCTGATTTCAGTAAGCATTGCTAAAGTCATATCGTCATAGACAGCAATACTTGCTGCTCCTTACTGGGCCATTCTCACCCAGACATCGTGGCTGTGGTACAAACTCACATCGCAGTGCCGGACCACCTTCTCAGCAACATGATCACCGCGCCAGTGGTCGACCTGGCCGAGCGTCTAGCCCGCATCCTCACCCCTCGCCCTCTAAAGAAGTCCTTCTTCCTTAACACTGGCTCCGAGTCCATCGTAGCCGCTATCAAAACAGCCAAAACTATACACTAGCAAGTTCGAGATTGTCGCATTCAGCGCCAGTTTCCACAGGCTTACCCAAAGCCCCGACACGGCTACCTATATTACCGGCCGAGTTGGTGGACGATGAGAGACCCCCTGTTCCGATACTGGACGTAGGCATGGACTGGAAATCAGCAGGTTTATGTCGTCTATAGGAACACTGATCAATCGAGAGATCGGTATCAAGTATGATTGTCATTTCATCCATTGGCATTATCGTAATGGGAGCAGGAACCTAAAAATCCACCCGCTCAAAATCTATTGAAGCACAGACCAAAAAAGCACCTCATACGTGAATCCGAACAATACGCTGTAAATCAAAAAACACGTCTTTTATTCATAGCTGCACTATGTTATTCCAAATCTTGACCTCCTCTCCAGGCTTGAAGGGCGGCAGTCAGACGTAAAGACAGCTCGAGCAGCGGAAGGCATCGCTGAGAGAGCAATTGTTGCAGGAGCTCGTCTTGTCCTAGACGGTAAAATTGACCTCGTCGCTGAGTTCGGTAGACTGGAGCTTGAGAACATTAAGATCTTTGTCGGCCTTTTCCTGGCGTGCCTTATCTTTGGCCTCCATCTCAGCGGCTAGTGGGCAGGTGCAGTCCTTACAAGGGCGTTGACGTTTCTTTACATTCTCCGGCTGGCAGTTTGCGGCTGGCAGTTTGCGGCTGCGTCCAACGTGTCAGTATCAAGAAATTAGCTGGGAACCACGGTGATATTAGACTCACGTTGTTGCATTGGACGCTTTAGATTGTCATCGGACAGACGATCATCCTTTTTAATCCAACTCATCATTACCGTCACCACAAACCAGACCCCGCTCATAGCAACCGGAGGTTGCTCCATCGAGGCTGGAGCCTTCTTCTTCTTCCCTTCCAGCCGTAGAGGCACAGCAGCCTCCTGGTAAGCAGGTTTCTCGAATGCACCCTCCTTCTCCACCAGGCCAGCCAGAATCGCCTCCAGACCCTCTGCGCTGTTCCAGGTGCCATCCTGGAGCTGGAGCTTGGTCCCTCCCTTTATAGAAGGGACCAATGCGGAGTATCCATCGCGTGAAAAGACTTGAAATGCTTCGGCGCGGCGGGCGCTGTCGGTATCGGACTATTGTGCGTCCCCACAAAGACATTGGAAGTTCATCATTTGTTGCGCCAGACGTGACCTGTAATGTCTACCCAAGGTAGCATTCGTAATGATGTGCGCGAGTGTGGGCTGCTCAAAGCTGCTAAGAGACTTACGCTGAATAGAAACAGAACATTGAAATGCCCTGTCCTCCTTGCGTTGTTGTCTCAGTTGTCACCGTCGCGCATGGTGCCGATTAACTACGGTTCTGGACAGGTGCTGGCTTTTCATGGAGACCGCAGGGAGATGAAGGGAGCTGGAATGGAAAGCAACAAGTTTGTATATGTTTTCGGCTGGTGTCGCAATAGGCGTCGGTGCCATGTTTTTAACCGTTGACTTCCAGAACGGCAAAATGGATGATTGGAGGACTGCAGTTTGCGTCGCAATCATTGAACTTATACTTCAGTGACTACAAGAGTTTTCCGCTCTTTCTAGCCAATCAGACAGGTTCTTCGTTTCCGAATTGGCGATTATTCAAGCCTAGCTCGAGCTCTTCTTCTCAGCGTGCTCGATGCGCAAGACATAGTCCTGAATCCTGTGATGATTTAAATATCTTTCTTCTACAGAAGAGAGTGGTTATGCACCGTCTGGGCTAAGTGAAAATGGGATATACATAACCTCAAGAAAGTCTGATGAAGAAAGGAGCACTACTGTTCCTGAGCTGACAAAGGGACAGAGGACGAAGGGGGCAAATCTGCTTTCTTTTGATGCTGTTGTCGATTGACGTCTGATCTGTTGGAGATCGTTCAGGAAACGATGGTGGAGGTCTCATCGCTCTGCACAGCCAGAGTAGCATCTACATTTCCTGACCTCATGACGCTATGATCATTTTCAGTGTGGTTATAGACAAGCTGGCGTTGTTCGACCCCTTCGACGTTGCATCCTCTCCCAGATCTGAAGTCCAACGACCTGATACAGCGCTGGAAGCTGCTCCCGTCTGGTACCCAACTGGAGAAAGGATAATAACGATGTACCACGAAAGATAAAGCCAAAGATGAGACAAGTCCCAAGTCCCTGCTTTTGGCGACAACCTATAAGGGGTTGATGGGCATGGAACTAGATCAAGAGACTCTATACAGGTTATCAGAACTACCAACTTACAACGCTACAACATCTGAATAAAGCTTATCAACACTACATCGGGGGTATATTCCACATCCTACGGGGCATATGAGGTACCTGCTGAGTTCATGGACGCCTTCGAAGCTGTTGAAAAACAAATAGTAATATTTTAACCCGAAAACCATACCAAAGGCAAACCTAATGCGAAGCTAAGCCGCTATGGAAATTCGACGGCTTATTGTCTGGCGGAGTCAAAAACAGACGTTATGATAATCCGCTGTCGACATAGAAAAAGCCCTCGTGACCAAAAATGCTCTACTTCTGGATAATGGCAACGGATTTATGTCCACATATAACCGCGCAATACAGAAACTTGATAGATACATCACCTGCTGGACTACATACTCGCAACTAAAGCAGTGTGTTCATCTATGGCCTGGAGCGATTATGATGCTGTTTCAATAACGATCTGGCTAGGGCCAGTATTACAGACTGTACTATAATTGCAGGGCTAGACCGATTAACTTCGCCTTTTGTGCTCGATAAATTATTCTGCTTTTATCAGGAGGGACATATGGGCTCTGATATTTCACGCATTTTATATGAAATTATGGCGAGATATAAAGTTTGGCTGCTTGCATGGTTGATTTATAGAATGTAGAAAATGAGAGGTTGATCAGATATAGTTTCGTTCCCTACCTTCGCTAATGATAGTAGCATAATAATATAACATAGTGGCAATTCCATCCAGTTAGCTGTAGTGGTACGCTGATGGAATATCACCTTGCTAGTTTGTTCCATCAGGATTGGGCCACAGATCAGGTGACTACCTGACTACCTTGGTGGTTTGGCAAATCCCCCTTTGGACTAGACAGGGGTCCAGAACTAGGAATAATCCCTGTTGTTTTGTTTATTGATCAGATGACGAGGATGATGATGGTAGTGGTAGTTCCATGGTGGTACAGGAGGCCTACCAAGTTGGACGAAGGGGATTATGTTTCAAGGAGTAACTACTGTTAAGAGTTATCTTGTTCTACAAACAAGGGTAGATATCAGGTTTATTTGTTATCACATTCTGATCTTGTAGATACGTTCCTGAACTAAACTAGAACTCAAAGTAAACCAACTACACCATACAAAAGCACATGTGCGTTAGACAGGCAGCTCGATATCCAAACGCCCAATTTCGTCCTAATTGAGAAGACAACTATACACAATGTGCAATCAAAAGACAGTGTTCCTGTAGAAAGAAGTAGGGTTGATTATATCCTTCAGAAAGATAAATGCCACCACGCGTAACCGAAACTTTTCCATATCGTGGTATTCGGGGCATATTAGTGTCATACTGGCTTCATATGATGCTGAAAGTGTCATGTCATATCATGTCGTGATCATTAGAGAGTGTAAGCAGGGTAGTGAGATGGTGAAAGGAAGGTAAGTGGTAAGAATTGTAGCGACTGGCACATTGATTGGTGAACCAAGGTAATGTATTACCGAAGACGCGCCACCCATGTAATCTTGAGGCACCTGATAACCGGGGTGGCTTGCTTATGCTCCGTCCTCTTCGCTAATGCGAATAGCGCCCTCGTTACCCAGACCGTGAGACCAGAATCCGTCAACATTGAGAGTACTAATATAGCAGTTAGTTTGGTACTAGGTTTCAAAGAGATCAGCAGTTGACACGTACATTCCAGGAGCGCCGTCGTGGGCAATAAGCAGCCAGTATCCGAGAATACCCTGCGAGAAAATATCGTAGATGGCGAAGAGGATAGTCTCGACATCAACGTTGATCTTCAGAGCCAAAGCTCCCGCAGCGAGGGCGCTAGTCCATGTCAGTATACCGTTGAACGCATCTTGAGCTGAGGGAAACTTACACTGGGTACAGGAGCTTGACAAACAACATGACACCCGATAGAGTTCCGAAGAACCGCTTGGTCTGGACATCCTTGTTGCTTGCTGCCCGGCTTCCATGGACACTGATATGGTAAACCGTCGTCAGATAGCCGATTGCGCTGATAGTGAACCAGACCCATCTGCGCGAGGAATGGCCAGCATAGGTACCCAGAATACCCGAGCCCAGCATGATAAAGTCGGCCGCGATGGCGATGAGCAGGTGAGCTCCAGGCAGACCGGAGAGCAGCGACAAACTGATGAGGCCCAAAGGCTCAGTCAAGAACCAGAGGACATAGCGGAGCCAGAGGATCTGGCGGTAGTATTCCTGCGTGGTATTGGGGACGTGCTTGTTGTGCTCCTTGAGGATGTCGAGCTTCCAATCCATGCCTTGTCCAGTCGCCAGAGCAAGGTAGACAATAAAGGAGATGGTGCTGGCGAGAGCAACAATAACATGGAACACACGTTTATTCTAACCAGACTGAGGTTAGTTGCTTGTCTTGTAATATCATCACGATAGCTTGAGAACATACGATAGGAACCCGAGCACCTAGAACGTAGAACACGAGAGAGGAGATACCCATGAGCACAGTGACCACCCTGTGTAACTCAATATTAGCTAAACTCGTCACATCTCCGTCCACAACGGTCTTACCATAGTGTCCGTTTCCCAGTGTCATGGAGCACCTGGAAGATAGGATCACTGCCGGGAACGACGGTGGGAATGGGCGCCACCGACGAGGTGGGCGATGGCTCAGGCCAAGGGAGAGTTGGAGTCGCCTTGATGAAGGACTCGATCATGTTGATGGATTTCAACAGAACTATCGACACTGATGATGGTGTAGAGACAGTCCGATGCGAAAGGATATTGCGGGGGAAAGGAGCGTATATGAGGGGGATCGACTGGGTATTTAACGGGAACCGGGAGAGCCGAGATGCAGGCTGGCCATGATCCAGTGAAGAAAAAGAGGAGCAACGATTGGGATTCTCCGTTCCCCAGCGACCAGCGTCATGCTGACCTCGATGTTGTCGTCATTGAGATTCGAGAGCGACAGAGAACCAATCACGGCGGATGCGACCGCGGGCTTGAGGGGGAACCGTGTAACCGGGGGGGAATTGGTGCCGTGTCCATGTTTGTCTGGAACTTGGAAAGCTGGCTGGTCAGCAGTGGTTGCATGATACGAATGCGTCTCCGCTTGGGTGAAGATGGGGAAGATGGGAAGATGGAATGGAAGATGGGAAGCTCCACTGAGACATTGCCGCTCCCTGCGGCATGACGCCATCCCCAAATGGGTCATGACTCAGCTACAAGGTACCCTCATCGAGCTCATCATTTCTTAATTAAGGCTACAGATATAGTTCTATTCTTATCCCCCAGGGTGTGATTTCTTAAAAGGAAGGTCTTGTCAAAGGTTATTATTGTATTATTGTATTATTGTAAATAGATACACAGAAGAGGAGTCGCCTGGGCATCACAGTCACTGATATTCATCTCTTGGCTAACCCCCAGTTACACATGGTGATCCCTTGATCCACATAGATGCCTAGACCGCCCTACATCAACAGGTATCAAGTCACTGCGCCAAACAAGAGTAGTGCACGTGATATGCAGACTTTAGATTCTGTACTAGATCCACGATCTTTTCCATCAGTCATGTACTCTGATCTCACCTCACAGATGATCTCCTTCACGAAAGACTCATTGGTTGGGCTGCCGCTGACTGTGAGCCACGGCCCCTGAACAAGCAAACCCAACAAAAAAGTATATTCCAGAATTCTACCAGAAATTCCTTCGGGTCTGTTCTTCTCGATAGCGTCGTTTGGAGGGAACGACACTGCCGTATCCCTTGTAGGTATCACCCAAAAGTCCACGTCCAATGCACGGAAATTATCCTGCAAATCCAGCAAGCGGCCTCCGATGATGGGATCTGCTTTCATCACCCGCCAGTCAGACCCATGACCACCAACACCGCGTATGCATATTTCTTCAGATACCTGCTCTTTGGCGGCGTATCGGAGATAGATGGTTTTTAGCTGGACAAATGTCTCAGAGGAATCAATCAAAAGACATTCAATCTCCCTGCACAAGGGCAACGAGCACTGTATCAGACAATCATCTATCCAAAGATGTTGCAGTGAGCGGGGAAGCACGTCCCGAAGAGATATGGTGGGCTCATGGACCCCATATACGAGACCAACTTCGGAGAACGACATCAGGTTGCTCCATCTCATATGGATGGATTGCAGATTACAAAACTTCACAAGACTCCCGAAGAATGCAGGTGCTGGAATATTAGCCTCTTGACAGGTCCCGTGCCCTTCGAAAGTCAGGCTGAGGTGACGCAACGAATACTGAGACCGTTGTAGGGGGAGGTGCAACGCCGAGTAATCGAGGTATCCGTGCGTCTCATTTTCTCCCCAATCTCCCAATTCGAGAGTTAGCGATTGCAGTTGTGGGCACCTTTTTAAAAGACTGGGAAGATGAGGGACGCCGTCGTTTGGCACCAAAAGATCCAGATGGGTCAATGGGAAGATCAAATCCCTGGGCATCGAAAACTCAGTTCTATCGCACGCCTTTTTCACGGAGATCCTTCTCAGGGAGGGGATCTTAAGATAGGGCATGACTCTGTTGAACGACACAGCATTCATGGCAGTCCCCTGCTGCCAAAATGCTGGGCCATTCGCCAAGGAAACTCGCTCGAGACGCGTGAGAATTCCCAGTTCTGGGTTTCTCGCCCATTCCAGGACCCTTTCAAAGTGAACGGAGTTCTTAAGTCGATCCACCTGTCCTCCAACCAGATGGTCCCACTCTTCAGCCAACTCGATAGCAAATTCCTCGAGATTATTCAATTGTACCATCAACAATGCAAGCCAGGCGTCTTCATATCGGTAGGGACGATGACTGTCTTGTCGTTCAGAACTGTGTTTGAGGTCTCGGCGCCATTCTTGGAACTTGCGACGATGTTCGCTGTTAGCATCGCCGTAAGGCAACATGAAACTGCGACACTTTTGCTCATCCACTGGCTCTAGCGGGCCTTGGTGGTACCATTCCACCTCGCAATTTCTAGCGTATAGCTCCAGGGAGCGGATGAAGGGAGCGAATGTCAGCTTATTTAGGATGAACGTGGTAAAGCGACGAATGGGGAGGTCTCTGTTACAGCGAATGGGATCATATTCGGAGCCACAGTAGTCATGCAAAGGCAGCTTTACATGGCGGTACAGGTGAGAGATGAGCAGCTTGTACCAGTATTTGCATACCAGCACGAACTGCGCCAAGTCGTGCTGTGGCAGGAACGTCGAAAGAATCAGGACAATCTCTCCCGGGAATGAAGGGAAACATCTTGTGTGAGAGGTCACTGAAACGAAGGGGATATGGGTGTGTAGTCAGGAAAAGACGGTTCGGAGAGGGTGGTTTAACGGAGGAAACCTAGGCAGCCTGAGTGCCTGTCAATTCCATGCAATGAAGAGATGTACGTCTTCATGGCAAGATATCTCCACCAACCAACCTCTAAAGAGCCTGATATTTGACATACTCGTTATAGAGACTGCAAGTTAAATTCTACATATTTTTTTATATTTTCCCCTCATCACTGGAAGACACTGAAATCCAATAAATCCGTTACCATCTTCTACATATGTATGCAGACTTAGAGTCCACTAGATAGCTATGACAGATTCTGAGATATATGTATCTGAGGAAAGGCGTTCTTTCTCAATAACATCAATGAGCGATCGACCCCGTGAATGATCATCTCGGACGTGGGAGGAGTCGGTAGTACTAGCCAAAACCTCATCCACAAACAACGCTCCCCAGACGCTGACAGACCAACTATACGCTGAGCAGACCAGCGTCCCTTCACTTTACCCCATATATACGTTCAAGATGGAGACTGTCATTTTGTAGTCGCCTGACTGGTCATCGCTGGGACCACGGAAGCAACGAAGCAGGCAGATGCCGTCGCGGAGGGGCTGAATCCATCTGGATCATCTCCTGGAGGGCTTCGGTGAGTTGTATCATTAAATTCAGTTGGTCCAAAATCCACTATAGGACACGCACTTTTATATTTACCTCCTGCCCGGGTTGTTCAGCGCGGGCGAGCGGACAGGGAAATAGTCAATCGACTTTGACAGGGATTCTAGTCCTTTACTTGTACTACAGATGCCGCTAATGCTGGCGAGCCAGGGAAACCTAACCCAGATCTATGCTATTTGTTACTATTATAATATACATGCAGCACTAGCTTGTACGTTTCAAATGCTAACAAGGAACTGACCACTCAGCTCGATGCATCCAACTCCTGCACCACCTCCTCGCAGCGCCCACACACCGTCTCCTCCGCCGCCTCTGTCTCGGGCACCACATACCGCCAGCAGCGCGGACACTTGCTCGCCTGCGGGGTATACACATATACCGTGCCTGTCCCTCCACTCGGCAGCTCGTACACCTCACTATACTGCCACTCCGCATTGCGGATGTCCTCCGGGATCGGCTCCTCGTGCGCCCCGAGACTGACCGACGAGACAACAAACACATCAGGCAGTTCGGACTGGAGGCGCGCGAAGGCTGATTCGCTTGTAGCGTCCTTGGGGAGAATAATATGGACGAACGATTGCAGGGAAGAGCCCATCTGCTTCTGACCACGGGCCTTTTCTTGAATCGCCTTGACGACCGAGTTCACGGCCACGATGTCCTGGTAGTCTGCTTCCAGAGCCTGGTTCTGCCATTCGGAGGCGGGCGCCGAAACAATCCGTTTGAGCGGATGCTCGCAGTGCGTCTTGATGGCCTCGGGCGTGTGCTCCCAGGTCTCTTCTACCAACAACGGAGTGATCGGGGCAAGCACCTCTTGGAGGTGGTGATAGATGTGGAACAAAGTCGTCTGGGCAGCCCGTCTGCTGGTGCTGTTCTCGGCGTAGGTGTAAAGACGGTCCTTGATGGCTTCCATGTAGAATGCAGAAAACTCAAGATTAGCCCAGCGGTTGATGGCATTCACGGCCTTGTAGAATTCAAAGTTCTCGCAGGCCTTCTGGCAGGCCAAGACTGTGTCGGAGAGATGTTTCAACGCGATACGATCCACCTGCTGCAGCTGGTCATAAGGGAGACGATCCTCCGGACGGAAGTCCGACAAGGCACCCAACAACAACTTGAACGTCACACGGTACTTGTGCAGACTGGTGTTGACCGTCTGGAGAACTTGCTTGCCAATCACGACATCCCGCGTGTAGTCGCTGCTTGCAACCCACATCCGCAGAGCATCCGGGCCAAGCGCATCGTAGACAGGTGCCTGGTTCTCAGCCTGCTTCTTCCCCTTGCCTTTTCTCGGCTTCAGGGGGGGCAAGAGCGTGCCGTCCATGATCGACTCCGGCTGGATCACGTTGCCGATCGACTTGCTCATCTTGCGTCCCTCCTCGTCCAGGGTGAACCCGTGAGTGACGAGGTTCTTGAACGGCGCGCGAGGGGAAGCAGTCTGTCCGGAAGCGAGCTGGTGGGCGATGAAGGTGAGAAGGCCAGACTGGAACCATCCACGGTGTTGGTCGGTGCCCTCTAGGTAGACGTCTGCGGGATATCCGCCGTCACGGTAGGGCAGGTCGATTTCGGTCCAGCTGGTGCCGCTGTCGAACCACACGTCCATGGTGTCGGTTCCGCGTCTGTAGCCGGGTCCAGAGGCATCTCGGAGAGCTGGTGGGATCCAAGCCTCGTCGTTGGCATCGTCTGTCCACCATGCGTCAATGCCACGCTCTTCGATGACGTTCATGATGTGGGATACGCTGTCCTTGGTGAGCAGGGCATCGCCTGTCCCGCGGTGGTAGAGCGCCGGGATAGGGACACCCCAGGCGCGTTGACGCGAGATACACCATTCGCTGCGGTTCTTGACAAAGTTCTCTAGTCGCTGTCTTCCGGCAGTGGGCACGAAGTTGACATCTTCCAGCGCGGTCATGGCGCTGCCACGGATGTCGGCTACGTCGGCGAACCATTGTTCCGTGGCGCGGATGATGATGGGAAGTTTGGACCGCCAGTCGTAAGGATACTTGTGCTCGTATCTGTGCTTGGTGATCAACAGGCCTTGAGATTCGACGTACTCGAGAACAGCGGCGTTGCCATCACCCAGAACGCTCTTTCCACTGAGCCTCGTCGGGTCACTGGGCATGGCCTTGTCGGTGAATTTGCCGTTGTCGTCCACGGGAGCGAATGCGGGGATACCTCGGGATAAGCAGGCTTCGTAGTCCTCCATACCGTGGCCTGGAGCGCAATGGACAAGACCGGAACCAGAGTCGGCAGTGACAAAGTCCGCGGCGATGACAGGTTGCGGCTCCGCATCGGGTCCCTTGAACAGAGAACGGTATGTAGTTTGATCAGCGAGCTTTGAGCCAGGAATAGCCGGTACAATAACCGATAGATCCTCCTTCAGGATGCCCTCGAGATATTCCAGTCGAGACTGTGCGATGAGAAGATAGCCCTGCGTATCCGAGTCGACGATGGTGTATTCCAAAGACGGGTGAACCGAGATAGCCGCATTTGCCGGGAGTGTCCAGGGAGTCGTAGTCCAAATAACAGCGCTGATTTCCTTACCCTTGAGCAGGGGGTCCTGTGCCAGATGCTCCGGGATGCTAGCAAGAGGGTATTTCACCAAAGCAGCCGTTGACACATGATCTTCCTTGTATTCGAGCTCCGCCTCCGCCAGCGCCGTACCAGTAGACGGCGACCAGTAAACCGGCTTGAACCTCCGATAGATCAATCCCTTATCAACCATTTCCCGAAAAACGCCAAGTTGTCTCTTCTCGAACGCCTTATCCATAGTTTTCCAATGATTCTCCCAATCCGCCATGACCGCGAAGCTCCGGAATCCCTTCATCTGCGCCTTGACTGTCCGATCAGCTAACTTGCGCGCAGACTTACGTACCAACGCTGCGCTAACGGGCCCATTGTGTTCCTGTCCCTGTAGTTCCTTTTGCGCTTCCAGAGCCTTCAGCTCTATCGGCAAGCCGTGACAGTCCCATCCCGGTACGTATCGTATCCGCTTTCCAAGACCCAGCTGCACACGACAAATAATGTCTTTTAGCACTTTGTTGAGGGCATGGCCAATGTGAAGTTCGCCGTTCGCATATGGTGGTCCATCATGTAGGACGAACGGCTGACTGGCTGGTCGTTCACGCTGTTGCCAGGCGTAGAGGTCGTCGGTGCATCGCTGCAGGTACTTTGTCCGATCGGCCGGCGTCACGCGTGCAGGGAACGTCGATTTCGGGAGCTTGAGCGTCGACGACCAGGACCGAGCGAGCGTCCGTGGCAGGTCCGGCATACTACCGCTGTATCATATCCCACTGTTCGAGTTTGGGGGGATTGGGCGAGAGGGTGGGTGGTGACTCTGGTTGGGGAGCGGAGATTCAAATAATGTCCACCCATCTCCGATGCGGCCGCAAAAGGCGTGTATTTGTATTACGGTAAGTTACGCGACGAACCAATAACAACCATTATATAATTGGGGGACAGTTATTCAATACGGAAGCCAAAATTAGATACAGATAGTAAACCCGAAAAGCAACCTCTCCATAAAGCAACGTTGGCTTGAATTAGTACAATGTTTCTATCAATGTATGCAATATCCATGAATCTGATGCTTGCCAGAAGACGCCAACCCAAAACTCCGGCCGACCCTTGCGAGGAAACGATCAGGTTAATAGATAGTCAAGCAGCTCACTGCGCCATTCTTCATCACCTCGAACAACAGACCAGGGAATCCGAAGAGCTCCGTATTGCCTAGTCCGCCGTCATGCGCGTCGTGGCCCGCCCTTTGCCCTTTGCCTGTGCTCTCTTCCCATCCACCGAGAAATTCGACGCTGCTCTCTGGGCTGTCGCCCCACCCTCGGTTCAAAACCATGGGCCGCTGTAGAGCCCGCTCCTCCGCAGGGCTCGCATAAGATCCCCTCCAGGTTGACCTGAGACGCTCTGACACCTCTTCATAACGAGTCTCGGAAGTAACAAAATCATCAGGCGAACTGAAAATGATCCTCCACCGGCTGCGGCGATGACGATTGAAAGGATATGAACCCGGCACATTTCCATGTAGGATGATCTTGGTCACCACTAACTGCGAATGGGGTGGGGGTGGAGTGGGGTCTCTCTGGTCAGATTCTGGGAAGGCTGGGCCGGGCGTGGTGGGATAGGAGATGAACGCATCAAAGCCATGGTGGAAGTAGTTGAAAAAGCATTCTGACGGTAGTGACGAAGGATCCGATGCGTTTGGTTGGAAGAGTTCGTCGTCTGAATCGTCAGACACACTGTTGTTTGAAGATTGATCGATGTCAGTAACATCTATTCCTCTGCCTGG